AAGAGTTAACAATGAGCCATGTATTATGGCTTGCACAAATAAATGTATGGAGGTGCATTTACCATGTTGATGAAACCTGAAAGATGGCAGAGCTTGGGGAGGTCAACATGAAGTCAGTTTTGGTGCACATGTCTATGAGATTAGATAGAAAAATGGGACTAAGCATCAGAGAAAAGGTCTGGGCTAGCAAAGTAAATTTGGAGTCACATAAGACCAAAGTGAGGCCTGAGATGAGATTCCACTTCCTATCTACACCTGAGCCTTGGAGAATTCCAACACTTATAGACATTTAACAGTAAATTCTTACCATGAGGTGTTAAGAGAAGCATTACTTACTACTCCTGTTTTGTGGCTGAGAAAATGAGTACTAACAGAGATTAACTAACGTCACCAAGGGAGGAAGTAGCAGATTTGGGGGTTGGGGATTGAAAAAACAAGGTATAGATTCCTTTTCTATGTCTTCTGAGTATATCAGGGAAGAAATAAAATCTTTCAGGGAATTTACATTGGGGGAAAGTATAACAAAGTGTAAATATTATAGTTGCGAGATAATTCTTCATGGATCTTTTGTTTCTATACATTTTGCTAGTGAGGCTTTGATTGTCCTTTTTCTGGACATCATTAGTAAGAGTATGTATACTGTGAACAATTTGGAAGATAGAGATAGTATCTCCTTCTGGAATAAAGATTAAGTAGGCTTACTGTACATTATAAAAGAATTTGGATTCCCTAAGCTCTCAGTTCATCTCCTACAACACAACTCGTGGGTGTGCAGGCCTCCATCTGGGCCCATCCATATCGCCCCCATGGGACTGGAGGCAGGCAGAAACTGATGCAAATATGCTGCTGTTCATGTGGCTTGTACATTATAAGTAACAATCCTTTCTCTGCGACTCAGTCTAATGTCTTCTGCCAGCAACCATGCAATGACAGGAGGCTGACCTTGTTAGCCTGCAAATAGCATAAAAGCTTGAAAATTCTTGAGGATTATATGGTATGCTAAGTACTTACAGACCATGCTAGAAGAGGATAAGGCTATAGGGAAAAAGAAGAAAGGGAACTGTATGAGGGGGAACAGGTATTCTGACTGAAGATTCTAATTTTAAACAGGGTGGTGAAGTACCTCATGTTAAGAGGTGAGCAAGGACTTGTTTTGAAAATACAGAGCAGAATTATATCCCGAACTGAGAAAAAAAAAAAGTCAGTGTAAGTGCTCTAAGGCCAGAGAGTAGTCGGTAAGGAGGAGGCGGGTGGGAATCAGGGTGGCAAGGTCAGAGAAATAGTCGGATCCACCTCAGAAAGTCTGTAGGGCATTTGAAGACTTTAGTTTTACTTCTGAGTGCAATGGAGAGTCACTGTTGAGTAGGATAGTAAGATGATTTGACTTACATGTTTAAAGACTCACGTTCACTGCTCTGCTGAGACTACATTATAAGAAGCAATGGTAAAAGCAGAGTCAATCTAGGTGATATTTGTACTTTACTATATTGTTTACCTAGATATACGTAGATTATCATAAGGTAATCCCATTTTAAAAAGATATATTACTGGAGTATTTGCTCCCTACTTCTCAACTTAGAGTATATTTAAAATCCTCTCTTCATAAACTATGCAAAATTCACTCTCATGAGTATCCAAGAGCAATGACCATTTTTTTCTGAATTCTTAGATTAAGTCAGGACATTCAGGAGAATAATAAGACCACAGGCAACAGAGAACAACAGCTTTGATGATGATGATGATAGATGCTCAAAAAATAAATAAGCAGCATTTACCAACCAAGTTAGTGTTAACTATACCACGTATCAGGCCTTGATTAAAATGCTAATTACTTTGGGATGCTAATTGACCATATTAACTCAGCAGGTGCAATAGATGACTGTGAATGAGGGAGTCACTTTAATACAATTTACTCTCATTTTTTTGCCTATTCAGACACAATATGATCGGAATTCTATTTGTGCATGTTGGCACCTGCAACATTATCTTTTCTAAACACCACAAAATAGATTTTCAACACTACTCCAACAAGCAAACTTCATTATGGTGTCTCTGAGGAGTCTGAAGAAGAAATGACTTTTGTCACAGCATCAGCACTCTAACAACCTCTAAATAAGTGGTTCCTTGACTAATTTGAACCAGAATTTCATCGTATTCTTACAGCAGATTTAGACAGAATGGTTACTGCTATTAAATCAGTACATGTTCTAAAAGCAAGTCTGACTTTACCACACAGAGCAGGTGGCCACCCCCACACACGCAAAACATTACTGGGAACAAAATGCAAAATGACCAGTGTGTGAGTCAAAGAATGGGATTTGGAAAGAGTTAGCAATTTCCAGTTTGCCTGGGGTAAGCAAAAATTCCACAGTCAACTGCTGACTAAATGGATTAACAAATTCAAACACTTTCAGGTTAGGGAGAGAGAAGAATTTGCAAATGAACTGACAATGGATTTAAAAGGTTTTAGCCTGAGGTAGTTTACAATTTTGAACGGCACCTGCCTAGAAAATGGGGGCAATCTTGAGGTGAACACTAGTATTGAATCAGCTTTGCCATGACTTACAGACCCCTTGGTTCACTGACTCTCCAAATTACTGTGGTTTATTTCAGCGTATTTCTAATTGGGTCACCAAAATAGGCATACTTCCTCTGAGAAAGCAATACCTACACATAGCAGGCTCGCACAAATTAAAGATTCTACTTTCTGACTTCTGTTATTCAAAATATTGAAATATGCCATACTCACGACACAATGGAAAGATGCAGACTGCAAGGTGAAGCACAAATACGGCTGAAGACGTCTTTATGCACTGCACATAAATATACGCATTCAAATATTAATAAGGCTAACTGGATCTTCTATATTATGTCTCAGAAGCTTTTGCAAGGTATATTACTAGCCATAAACTATCCATTGAACACTTTTGCCCCGATACTATATTACAGGCAAGTGATTTTGTGACTATATTACCCAGGTGATTTCATGAAGGAGGACTCCAGGACAACTTTTCTTGATTAAGCTTGTGTCACTCCCCAGAAGAACATGATTTGTGAATTCCACCTCTGAAGCCAGGCTCTCATGTGCCAAGACACACATGGCCAGAGCTCCAAGCCATGTAACTAGTGAAAACAGGCCCCTACACACAACACCCATATGAACTCCTACTATGATATACATCCCTTTTACAATGAAAAGAGTTACATCTTTTAACGTCCAGCAGAGGAAGTGCTTTTTGGCCAACCAAGAACAGGATGACATGGGTTCGAGTGGGGCATGGGCAGGCTGGCATAATTTGCAGAGGAGATGAGCCTTGCAAGGGGAGGAGAGGGCATCAGGGACCTTGCTCCAGCAGAAGAGCCCTCGCTGGTCACCTCTCTGTCACTTACAAAGGTAACAGGATCAGAAGTGGTTTCGGATCAGAAGAAGGCTACTTCTTCCATTGTATCAGGGCTCACAGTCAGTCAAAGGATTTCATTTCTAAGGGTCTTAATTCCTCAGAGAATTTGGAAGCAAGCATTAGCTGAGGATGAAGCAGGCAATTGGAAAGTCATAGATTTAAGAATTGAGGGTTCAGCACCACCAAAGCAGAACAAGACAGTAACCTTAAGAGGAAATACTGTAAAACTGTGGGACAGGATTAACACTCTCTTGAGTTTCTTTTGTGTTTTGCAAATGAGTTAGAAGCACAATTCCAAGAGAAGAGAGCTTCAGAAATATTTTGAGCACAATATCCGTATTTGAAAGCAGTGTATAGTCTTTCAAGGTAATTATCTTATAATTATCTTATTTATATGTATGAGCATTGACTCTCTTAATTAAAAAAACTAGATTATTCACAGACTCTGATAGTTACATGAATCCATATATACAATAAAATGACACAGAACAGAACTATCACACACATTGTACCAATCGTATCAAATTCCTGGCTTTACACCGTTACCATACTTCGTAGGATATCAACTACTGAGTGAAATGGGTAAGGTCTACTGGTACTACCACTGCAACTTCCTGTGAATCTGTAATTATTACCAAATAATAAGAAAAATGAAACAAAACAGAAAGACACTCCTCTTCACAGAGCTGATCATATTTGAGGTAAAACTATAAATAAGCATCTGTTTCCAAGCTTTCCGTCAGCCACTATAAAAACAACTACTTCAATGATACTGAAAATGAGAACTCTAAGTTCCATGTTAAAAATACGGTACCAGGCTTCTTGTCGATAGCCATCTGCAGCTGCTCCAGAGGGTAGTACACCGCCCCACTTTCATTAAAAGAAGTTTGCTTTGTTCATCACAAATCACGTAACAAGGGCCTGCAACCACCTTTCATTGATTACAACAGTGTCAAGAATGTTATTTCACGTACACGAGGTACAAAAGAACATACAAATTGTTGCCTGAATACCAGGAACAACTATCGATTAATAACTACAATTTGTATTTTCGAACGTGAGAAAAGCCCAGCAGGATATAACTAAACAACAAAGAAATCTCGACCCATCTTGCTACAGTCAGTTCCCCCCGGTTCTAAACAAATGAAGTCAAGAAAGCTGAGAGAGTCCTATCAGCAAGACTTCATCTCTGCATCATCAACTGTACACACGCAAGCCTAGTATAATAAATACACACTAATGAGCAGCTGATGTAGGATGATTTTAAAATTCAAATCTCCTAGAGTGTGACAGAAAAGGTTTTCTTTGTTTATGTTGGATGGTTAACTAAACTTAGCTTTCATTATAATGACTGCTCCAGACTCGGCACCAGTACTGTTCTGTGTCTATGCCTTATACACATTTTAGACTACGTGATGTTTTCGATGCATTCAAGTGTTCGCCAGGGCACAACATGGTTTCTAAAGAGGCTTCAAAAAGTCTATGGTTGAAGGGAATATTTAATCCTTTAAAAATGTAATTCTTTTAAATTCATTTCTTCTATTATTCTTAAAAACTTTAAAAAAAATATTATGGTCATTTGATGTCACAAGTACTTACCCCACAAGCTGGATGCGCAGTCCCTGAGTCAGATGCTTAGTGCTTCCAGATGTGCTGAGCTGGCAGGGTTGTCAGGTGTCACTTTATCCTTGGTTGTCTGATTCTGAGAGAGAGAGGAAGGTACCATAAGTAACAGCTGGAATGTCAACATGTAATTGCTGATAAATTACTAAACAGGGTGTATATTTCTATGAAGTGACGTGAAAACTGGAGAGGTTCCAAAATGTAACATAAAAGGAAAAAACCCGAAACTTAGCCTGAGTACAGAATAAAAGCATGAAACTATTTTACTGTTTTAAGCACTGTCTATGCACTAACGATCCCACTGGCTGGAACCTCTGCTCTGAGCTTCAGATTCAGTGCCTACTCAACACATCCTCCTTGACTCTCTTTCTAAAACACATCTCTTTTCTAAAAACATATTTCCCGATATTCTCCCCAAATTTTCCAGAACCTCACTCTTCCTGGTCTCAGTCAATAGGAAAATCAGTTGTTTAGGTAAAAACCTTGGGTCGGTCTTGTTTCTCTTCTTCCTCCCAGGTCACTGCAGTTCCATTAGGGTATATCCAAAACCCTACTATTTCTCACCATCTCCACTGACTCCACCTTAGTTCCAGGCAGCATTTTTTTCTCGCACAGATAATTGCAATAGCCTCTTAACTGTCACTCTGCTCAACTCTGCACTATTATAATTTCTTCTCAACAGGTCAGCCAGTACCAACCTTTTGTTTCTTCTCAAAACCTGTAACAGTTACTGTCTTCACTCTGAAGCCAAAGCCCTCACAAAGCCACAGCACCCTACAAAGTAGGACGCTTCCATCCCCGCACTTCCCTTCACTGTGCTCCCTCCACTGCAGCCACACCAGACTCTTCCATACATCCCGGGCATTCTTTGTTCTAAGGTCTTTGCAGTGGCTGTTCCCTTTGCCTAAAGAGCTTTTCCCTTTGATACCCACATAAAACCATCCTCATATACTTTGTTTTTCCTCAATTTTGTTCAAGTAAGTTTTTCCAGACCATCTTATTAAAAGACTGAAAATACCCATTATTGATGAGGAAGTAATTTGGGGGAGTTTAAAATGATTTCATTCAATCTACCAACAAAGTCTGAACAGACCTATAACTAGTAGGGATACTGAATAACTAACCTAAAACCTAGCCTTTCCCTATTGTGTATTACGCAAGACACAAACAAATGGGAAAATTCTGTGCTCATAAATTGGAAGTAATATCGTCACAATGTCTACACTACCCAAAGTGATCTACAGATTCAGTGTAATCCCTGTTGCCAACTAAAAATTGGCACTTGCCATCTACCTCTGCTTGGATTAAATCACGAACTGCTGCAGCCACCGACCTCCAACACCCCCTGAAAGGAGCTCAGGGTGGAGACCACGAATGAGGCACTCTGTGCTCTAGGAAAAACTGGCAGAAAAGGCCTTCAGACAGTTAAATACCATTTTCAGGAGATTTTATGAGCCCAAATTCTTGTGTCTCCTAATATCTAGATAAGCACTAAAATAATAAACAATTACCTCTAGTCCTCATGACTGGCCGCAAGTCCCTGCCAAAATGTGTCCTTGATTGCATGTAAGCCCCTTCACTAACATATAATACTGATGTTTGCCCCCCAAATGCCTCTTCAGAGTAGTTACTCGGAGCTATTGAAATGCTGCTTCCCAGGCTATGGTCCTCATTTTGCCCCAAATAAAAACTTAACTCACAACTCTTACATTGTATGATTTGATTTTGGTCAACACTTTCAAAATCCCAATGACACCTGCCAGAGAAATTGAAAAAAAAAATTCTACAATTCATATGGAACCACAAAAGAGCCTGAATAGCCAAATCAATCTTGAGAAAGACTCACACTTTCTGATTTCAGACTATATTATAAAGCCTCAAAGAACAAAACAGTCTGATACTGACCTAAAGACAGATATATGGGCCAACGGAACACAGCTGATACTTGACAAGGGTGCCAAGAATACACACTGAGGAAAGGACAGTCTCTTCAACAAAGGGTGCTGGGAAAACATATCCATATGCTAAAGAACGGAACTGGACACTGCTTTTATTACACCACGTACAAAAATAAAGTCAAAGTGATTGAAGACTTAAACATGAGATCCCAAACTGTGAAACTTCTGGGGAAAAAACAGGGGAAAAGCTTCATGACAATGGTTTTGGCAATGATTTCATGTGTATGACACCAAAGTACAGGTAACAAAAGCACAAACAATTGGGATTATGTCAAACTAAAATCTTCTGCCTAGCAAACAGAGTGAAAAGACAGCCTATAGGATGGGAGAAAATATTTGCAAACCATATCTCCAAAAATGGGTTAAACTGAACAAAGTTTAAAGAACTTCTACACCTCAACAGTAAACTAATAACATAATTTTAAAATGGGCTAAGGACTTGAATAATGTTGGTGAGGATGTGGGGAAACTGTACCCTTACACACTTAGTGAGAATGCAAAATGATGCTGCTGCTATGGAAAACAGTACGGAAGCTCCTTCATACATTTAAAATAGAACTACCATATAATCCACGAGTCCTACTTCTAAAGAACTGAAATCCAGATCTTGAAGAGACATTAGCCCTCCTATGTCCACTGTAGCATTACTCACAATAGCCAACATGTGGAAACAACCAAAATGTCCATCAACAGAAGAATGCATGAAGAAAATGTGATTGATAGAAACAATAAACAATAAAATTTGAACAAGTTCTATTTTTATTGGAATCTAAAATTAAGGGAACAAAATTAGAACACTGAGTCCACTTCATACCCAAATTGGTAATGATTAAAGTGCTTTACTGTAATAAGTCTTGTAGGAATCTGGCAAGAATGTAATTACTTAAAGAAAACAGCAGGGATAATATTTTGGAGCCATTTGGCATTCTCTGGGAAAGGTAAAAATATGTCTAGATAACAATCTAGCAATTTCTCCTTTACACAAATATGGGCAAGAAATTCTTGCACATAAATATGAGGAGACAGCTCTGTATAGGGATAGTAACTGCACTGTTGTTAATAATAAGCACAAAAAAGAAACAAAAGAACTAAAAACAAAACCTAGCAATAGCCTAAATGTACATAAATAAGTTCTAACAATTTTTTTTTTTAAAAAGGGCTTCAGTTCTACTAGAGATACTATAAAGCAGAAAGTAGGTTTTATGAGTAAACTAGATTCAAGTAGAATCAAGTTTAGGTCATAATAAGTAGAAAAGATCTTAAAAACAATGTATGAAAAAAGCAGGTTGTAAAAAATTCGAAAGTATAAATTAATTTATTAAAACAAATGCTATAGTTTATAAATAATTACACATGTATGTAGTACACGTGTAAAAACATAGTCTGGAGGGAAACATATAAAATTTATGATAGCAGTTGCCTCTATTTAGAGAGGAGGGGAGATAAAGAAATAGGACCATACAAAAGACTAAGGAACTCCCAACTTCTTTAATATTTTATATTACAAAATCAGTTTCAGAATAAAAGATGATAATATGAATATTGTTTTAGAGTGGTGAATAGATGGTTATCTCTTAGAGCATCTTCAGTACTTTTCTGTATTTTATATTCTTTTCTAAATAATTTATTATTAAATTAATGTAAATCAATTAAGTGTCTAATGGTTTCCATCAACACTTTAATGTTTTACTGAGACATCTCAATAATACAATGATATTCTTTCTCAACCTAATGAAGGGAAGCTACAAAAGTCCCACAGCTAACATCACAGTTAATGGTGAAACACTTTATGATTTCCTTCTAAGATCAGTAACAAGACAAGGACGTCACTCTCACTACTTCAATTTAGCCTTGTGCTTTAGGTTCTAGTCAGGGCAATTAGAAAAGAAAAAGAAATAAAAGTATATTAAGACTGGAAAAGAAAAATTCAGACTATCTCTACGTGCAGATTACATGATCTTACATATTGAAAATCCTAAGAAATCCACTAATAAAGCATTAAAACTAATGTACCAGCTCAGCAAGGTTGCAGGGTTAGAAGATTAATACACAAAAATCAATTGTATTTCTATACATTTAAAACAAACAACACAGAAATAAAATTAAATAAACAATTCCATTCACATTAGCAACAAAAATAACAAAATACATAGGAATAAGTTTAACAAAAGAAGTACAAAATTAGACCCTGAAAAATCATGAGACGTTGTTGAAAGAAATTAAATAAGATCCAAACACATGGGAAAACATCCTATGTTCATGAAAACGTAATACTGCTAAAATGGCAAGAATACCCAAAATGGTCTATAGCTTTAGTGCAATTCATAACATAGTTCCCAGCTGGTTTATTTGTAGAAATTGACAAACTAACCCTAAAATCATTTGGAATTGCAAGGGATCCAGTATAGCCAAAACAATCTTGAAAAAGAACGAAGTTGTAGGACTCACACTTCCTTATTTCAAAACTTACTACAAAGCAACAGTAATCAAGACAGTGCGGTGCTAGCCTAAGTATGGATATATAAACCAACAGAACAGAATTGGGATTCCAGAAATAAGCCCATGTGTCTGTGGTCAACTGATTTGCCACAAGGGTATCAAGGCTGTTCAATGCGGAAAGAATAGTCTTTTTAAGAAAGGTTCTGGCACAACTGGATAGCCACATGTATAAAAATAAAACTGGACCCTTATCTCACACCATAAACAAAAATTAACGGAAAATGGATCAAATACCAAAATGCAAGAGTTAAACTATAAAACTCTTAGAAGAGAACATAAGGATAAATCTTCCTAGCTCAGATTTGGCAATGAATTCTTAGATTTGACATTAAAAGCATGAGCAACAGCAGAAAAAATAAGTCGAACAAAATTTAAAACTTCTATGCTTCAAAAGATACTATCAAGAGAATGAAAAAACAACCAACAGAATGGGAGAAAATATTTACAAATCACATTTCTAGTAAGGAATTTGCATCTAAGATATATAAAGAATTCTTTGATCTCAATAATATAAATATTAACAGCTCAATGTAAGAAATGGGTGAAGAATCTGATTGAAGAGATATTTCTTCAATGAACAGAAATCTGGGAACAAAGAAACAAAGCTCGATCACTGGTATCA